TCGAATGTGCAGGAAGACAGCTTCCACACCTGCGTAGGATATCGCACCCATTCAACACATACGGGCCGGGACACCAATCTTCATAGATCGATTCTCTTGGCTGGCTTCTCCTAAAACTGCTCGAATGATGCGATTCTTTGTGTACTACTTGAAGCACGTGTTTACTTATTATATACATGATAGGCACTTCCATTGACAGTTCGTTCTGCATTAATTGTTTTAGATATTCGATGTACATTTGATAGCTGTTTTCGTCCCGGTCCGTTGCTTCTCCCACAAACGCAAAGCCACGGTTCACTTTGTGTGATGGATGATGGTGAGATTTGCAGACATTTCATTCTATACCGCTAAACTTTGCATGAGTTCTTTACTGTATGATGAATAAGAAGCAACTGAAGACATCACAGTCTTCGTGCCTTCCAGTACATTTATGATTACATACCCGAGCAAAGTCTGAGATCAAATTGAAACCTAAATTTGATGCTTCTATGTCGCTGATGATTAAAGACTGGAACGCGCAATATATGGTCGACAAAAAATCGTTTCATTCAGTCAAAATTTATATCACAATAATCTTCTTATTTTTCTTTTGGTAGTTCAATTCATATATTTAAAGGAAAAAATGTTCGTTTATTCTTTTGGTTTGCCAAATCCGAACTGCCGTGCCTTCCGCTTAACCCCTTCCATTAAATTTTACACAGTGGTCTCATCGAACTTATTCGCCGCCGAACGCCAGTTAGATTTAAACTGCTGCTCGTTTTCCATGGATTTATTAGTTTTTTTTTTTTAGATTCCGTTTAACCAAGGCCCAATACCGTTCGATAGGGTGGAGTTCTGGGCTGTTGGAACGATTGTGATCTTTCGGTACCACAAGGGGTCAAATTGCAAATCTCGAAATGGAGGACTTTTTGTACGAACGCTTGTATGAAAAAGTTTTTCGTTTCGAGATGCGCAATGTGGCCCCAGAATTGCAGCAACATATTTTTGAAGAACAACATGAATACAAGATTCGCTATCAAATTTGTCAATAGCGTAAACTTGAAATCTTATTATGATTTCAGTTTGATGTTGATATAAAAATTTGATTTCGATTTGCTGTCATTTTGATGCTGAACATTGCTCGGGTAGTTATCACACCCCTTGAACTTGTTTTGACCATTATCACTTCTAGCTGTTTTCTATATAGGCACATATTTTTAAAATGTTTGTTTTGATTTTATTCGCCCGATTTACTCGACCGGGTACTACTTTTTCTGTTCAATAGATTATTGATCATTTTGCTAGTAATGGCGACGCTTTAAATCATCAACAAGTGAATCACCGTATCGCGACAGTTCAACCTCCCGAACTCAAATTTGAACTTGCTAATCTTATCATCTTGCTCACAGCAGTGAACAACTTATCGTATACTCTTCGCCATATATTATTAGCGCAATGATAATACAACCCCGATGAATGATTTGAAAACATCAACCGATGCTATTAGTAGAACGAATGCGTTCATCGTTGGCAGTGTACGATCTTTGGTGAAAGTGATATAAAATGTTTTGGACGTTTTTGACTGTAACGCTGTCGTTGGTAGTTTTTAAATATTTCCTGAAAGATGTGGCGAAGCAAAGATCTGTGAAGATAGCCGGTCCCCCAAGTGTACCGTTTTTGGGAAATGCACATCTCTATTGGAATTTACAACCAGAAGGTAAAGAGAGTATTGGCGAATTAAAGCAAAGCCAAAACTGGTCAACATTCCCAGGTAGTTTTGGCGCACAAATCGGTAAAAGAAACTTTCATCTAGCGTCTAATACGACAAACACAACAAAAAACGGTTACGTGCTCAAGTTATTAAGGAAAGAGAAAGTTGACGAAGAGAATCGATCAATGTTACTTAGGACCTATTGCAATATTCAGCTTGAAATTATATCCAACAGAAAAACAGCTCAACTGATTGATTTATAGTCATTACTTGTTTAAAAAAAAAATAAATTTGCAAAACATTCATTGTTATTAAAAATATTTAGAATATACTTCAAAAAATTATCAAAGTTACCCCATTTTACGGTATGTTCGAAAAAAAAATGTTTTTCAAATAATATTTCTTTAAACAAGTACTGAGGATCCAAGAATGCACTATTTTTTTTTGTCTTGTGACCGAGACTGAACATCAGTTTTTTGTTTGTTTTGGGGTTACTTTGTTAATACTCAATGAATGTAAAAACTCGTGAATTTCAAACAATTTTGTTCAAGAAATATGAAACATTGAATGAGTATATAATCAGAAACATCATAAGCAATAAAAAGACAACATTGAATTTGTGATGGCTATATCGGAAATACATTTAATAAATGATTGGTTAAATACCTATTCAATCAGGCGAAGAATAAGCAAATTGTTTTTTTTTTCAGATATTTGGAAAATATATAAAACATGCTTTATAAAAACTCTATAAGATATCAAAGGTAATACCAACAATCAATACGAAACTAACGATTTTAAATTGGCTCACCACTTTAGTAGCCTATTGGTCCCAAGCAAACGATTAACGTACCCTATTCTAGTTGAAATTCTATTACTACACTATGTTTGTTTTGATTCGCTATGAAAGTTTGACAGATAACATCAAGGGTGTGTGGATTCATGCAGAACATGCAGGGGTGAGTGAAATAGCTTGGGACTGCTTGGGACCGTTGTTCTGGTACTGAGTGAGCCAAAAACAATAATGATTTTCTTCGGGACCCAGTGGTCTTAGAGTTACCTCTATGGTAATACCCTAAGCTATAAAATGGAACCAATGTATCCAAGTCGGAAATAATGCAGAGAGTAAATGTTATCATTATATTCTACTATCAATATTACCCCGTTTTACGGTTCCTAATAACATTACAAATTAACTCAGATCTTCATTTGTACTACAAGTTGATGGACAACTTATTCAACTTGATTAATATCTCGTAGAAATTGCAGCGACAATCTTTGCTTTCACCAAATTTGATGCGTTCACAAACATGCTTGCCCGACTGAATTAAGACGTTAACACTTTGATTAAAGAGCTGGACGGATGGCAAGTAGAAGATGATAAAGTGCAAGCTATTAAGAACTTTAGGCCTCCTCAAAACTGCTCCGAGGTGAAAAGTTTCCTCAGATTGTTTACTTTTACGGATCGATTCACCATGAATCGCGCGGACAAAACCATCCGGTTGCGTGCTTTGGCTAAAGCTGATCAGTTCTATTGGACCGATGCAGAGGAACAGGAATTCAACTTTTTGAGAGATTCAAGAGATTTTGACGGAAGAATACGTCCAGAAGTGTTTAACCGCAGTGTTCACTCGGCTGTCGACTAAAGCAGGCCACTCTCGATGTGTGCTACGCGATCGTCTGTTTTTTCGGCGGCAACCATTGTGTGGTCCTCCTCATTGTTCTTCATCAGCAGTTCTTTCGGTCGATGCGTCGTCGACTTTGGAAAGCAACTGTTTCGTGATGAGTGTGTGAGTGCTGACCACGTTTTGCGTCCATTGTTGCAATGGACGCGCTCTGACCCTCGTTGGCGTACAACAATTTGCCATACAATGAAACTACTGGAAGCGGCTCCAGTTCTGATGGAGGAGGCTTTTTGGATAGCGGAAGATAAAGTGTTTATTGTGTTGTACCTTTTGACTATAGTTTTAAGATGTATTGTATAGATACCAAGAATCCTCGGCTCTGTAAAGTTAATTCGGTTGAGCCTTATCAAATAAATTAATAAACAAGTGTTTTACCGGAAGACTTTTCGTGGCTGAGTGAAATGCTGCGGAAAGGTCACGACAATAACCAGTATCCTTAGGGGAAACAGCCCTATTGCTGCGGTACATTAGCAGCGTTAGAAGCCTATTGTTGTGTATGGAGACCTCCTGTGTACTCCTCCACCTCCGGTGTGGACGATGATGTGTACGAATGCAAAGATACTTGCGGCTGTGATACTAACAGTTTGACAGCTCTGTACTGGGTGTACAGCAAACCGTTTATGTTAGCTGAATTTTTTGGTAAAAAAAATATCGTTTGCTGTTTTTCTGTGAAGCATTGATTTGCTGATCATGATCCAGCAATCCGTTTTACTGATATTGAAAACTTAAATTTGCTGTGTAGGCTTCACAAAATTTGTGAACATCTCTTTAATAAAGTAATCTAATCTTATCTTCACCAAATTAACAGCAATGCCCATAATTTAGCATCCGCGTGCACAACATATAGCTCCAGATGAAAATACTATTTACAGCTTGTCAAAAGCTTTATGAGTTACATAAATCTGTTACCTTCAATCTACTGGCTAACAGATGGCGTATACTTGCCAGTAAGCTTTTAGAAGTAGGGATGCCAAGTATACACCATATGTTCTTTAGATGCCTAACATCAAAACATGCACATAGAGATGTAATATCTCTATGTGCATGTTTTGATGTTAGGCACTTTTATTAATGCTACCCAACCCCAAACCAATTGATGTTGAAAAGAAATGCTGAGTCATATTGTATTCGTTCTCTGCTTCAACGATTTATTTTGATCTTATTTGCTGAAACATGCGTCCCTGTAGCCCCCTGTTATGATCCACAGTTTCACACAGCTCAGAACACCACAATTTTTCTACATCAAAAATTGAAAAGGGCGAATCAACCATTTGTAAACAATGGCTTTAAACGCAAATTTCGCGAGAATCAAAATACATTGACGCAATCTAGCATCAGCATCTGATAGAGCAATCTTCATTTATCGAATGGTATTTTTAGTTGGCTTGGGTGCGTTTAGTGTGTTTTCACAAGTAAATTGCGTTTGAAGCCATTGTTTACAAACGGTTGATACGCCTTTTTCAAATGTTGGTATAGATTCCCCACAATGTTCAATGTATTGGAGCACCTTATAGAAACTAGTTTGCGAGAACACCACGCTCGCTATAATTAAATGAATGGTCCAGCGGCCACTTTTTGCTCAGTTCACGAAGTGATAGCCGCCGAGAAAGAGTGCATCATTTTCATTCGCTTTCCAAGATTAACTGTTTTGCTCTTATCAGCGGTGATAGACTTGAGCAAGCTTTGTTTACGGTGCGTTTTCGTAGTGAAAAATGACTTTTCTGGATTGGTTTTTGGCCATCGTTGGACTGGTGCTAGGCATTAACTATTTGCTCGTGCGACGGAATTTGAAATACGGTCACCAATGGCCCGGCCCGGCGGCGTTGCCACTCATCGGATGCTACTATCTGTACTTCAACAAAAGACCCGAAGGTATTGTCTCGCTTGGGCTAATCCCCCGATCGAATTGGTTCCGTGTGACGGAATTCAAGTGGTTAATTGCATTGTCTGGGTTCAATGGGGAAAGTAAATATAGTTCAACAGGAAAAGTCTGGACTATACTTTGAGGGTGCAACTCAATCGAGAATGAATAGATGAAATAAAATGGTGAGTTTATGATTTAAGATGTGATTCATCGGTATAGACTGTAGATCCGCTCGTCATATAGGGCACAATGATAATTGTAATAACCCTTCGAGACGCTTGTTCTCGCGTGGAAAGCCGTTATTAACGCCTCCGATATGAGAATGTAAATTACTGTATATCTCATAACAGAGCAAGAGTCACGGCTCGCTCACCCGGTTGATCTGAACATGAGTAACTAGATATTTTAAATATTGCTAGGACTTTGAAGATTCACAAGAATTTATGGAATAGCATCACACAAATACGTGAACATGCTTTTGTTGTGCGACCGTGAACTTGCTCGTTGTCAATGGTAACGGTGAATGAGTGCATGATACATAAAAATGGTATAATTATGGGTCAGTCGATAGCTCAGGCAAGGCGAGAGAACTGACATTAATGTCCCTAGAGGTTAAAGGTGGTGTAAGCGAATTCCATACTCGACTAATCACGAATGATCTCATATTTGATTTAAAGAATAGATTTTGCGGCTTTCAGATTTGGATGAAGCGTTTCACATGTCTTCGGCATAGGAGATATGTGTAGACATATTCAATTTGTCAGTTGCATTGAATAACATCAGCCAATAAACACTAATGTCACTTCTATGCAAATATTGATCAACTTTCAACTTTTAGCCGCAAAATAAAGCTAATATAGCGAATATATTACTTATCCATCAATTCTACTCAACCAACAACTCTTGCTGAATAACGTAAACATCAAAAGTGCGTTTTCAACAACTAATCAACCTGTACTCAACTAATAAACTGTGTTAGTGCTACTTTGGAAGCTACTTTACAGTCAACTAGGTTTATTTTTAGACATGTGCAGTTTTACAGCCTTTACTCTGCTACTTTACAGAGCTGAATTAACTAGTCGAGATAAGTGATTCATGTGCACTATTATAAAGCCTCTACTCAGCGATCTTGTTGTAGAAGAGCATGTAAATTTGTTTACGTCAGTTCAAAGTATTGGTGTAGCAAAGTTGGTAGTATCAAGGTTCACCAATGCGGTCGTCTCTAGTTCGATTCCAGATTCCGGTACAGTGTTAATAATTTGGTGGTGTGCTTATAACTAATTTCGATTAATTTGATTCGCAGTAGAATAAACTTGATAAATTCCTCCAACAAAAAAAAAAAGCGTAAACAATATTTAACCTGGCGTCAAGAGAAAACTGTTTAGTGATTATTGGATAATCGGGTAAAGGTTGAGTAAGCACCTTTCAAGTTCACACACATCTAAACAGCAGGATAACAGCTGTATAGAAGCGTAAATAGATATGCAATAAGAGCTTGTCCCAACCGTCTCAACAGCCAGAAGTAGATTACTAAATTCGCCAGATTTGCTTGTATAGAGGTTGAGTAAAGGTTTTCTCATATCGTACAACATTTGAATACATCTTGAGGCTGTATAAATAAGATGAGTAAAGCGTTTACATTGCGAAAATAGTTAGTTGGGTTAAGTTACATCGATAAATATTTTGATCGCAAAGTGATTACGTCAAAAAGCAATTTGACTGGTAAATAAATTTAAAAATGGGATGTGATCCTATATTCGGACAGTAGTGTAATATTCGTAGGAGCATCGATTGACATTGATAGCTCGACTTTGTTTACCTTTGTTACTTTCGACGTAATGAAAATATGCTCTTGATGTTTTTTCAAAAAAATCAAGAAGCTATTTCGAATTTCGGCTAACCCAAAACAAATAGATAAATAAACAGTCTGTTCAATTTTTTTTTCACAGCCAAAGCTAGGAAATTGTACCATAGAGGTAACTCTAAGACCAGAAGGTCCCGAAGAAAAGTGCTCAACTTTTTGGCTCAGCTCTGGTACTCTCTTTGGTCCCAAGCTAATCGATGCACCCCTCGAAACATATGAAAATCCACGAACCCCTCATTTTATCTGCCAAAATTTCGTAACGATTCAAAACAACATAGTGTAATACTCGCGTAACATTTAACAAAATTCACTTATGTCTATGCTTCGTAGGAGTTGACCCGATTACTCGCGACTTACCCAAGGTTAGAGGGGTACATTGTCGAAGGATAGGGTCAGGGGAGGAGCTTGGGGAGTGGGGTTTCGTTGTCTCATTAGAACGTTGTCATCAGTATGAACGGTAGTGCGGTTCTAGATTCGCCTGGAGTTCGACCGGCTATGGTGACCAGTGGGCGACGATGAGACTCATCGAGACGGGGGGACAAAACAAACAAGAATTTATAAAGAGAGAAAAAAGACATAGGAATTAAATTTTTATACTAGATATTTGCAGATTGCTTGGGCCTCGAGGATATTCAACAGTCGCTCTCTGGCGTCGTCATTGCCAAAATAAATAAATAAATAAACTGAGTAATGGATGGTGTTGAGTACTTGGTACTGATAGTCTGCTAGTAGTAGACGAAATATACGTAGCTGTCAAAAGATAAGCAATTATAACGGAATTAAAAGGGAATAAATCAACACACTTAAAAGGTTCTTCATAAAGGTATTCTGTTAAGAGGTTCGACAAAATAAAAAGATTGAAGATTAGCCTACTAGACCATTCGATGGGACCGAAATAACCATCAACCTTGCCATCAACCTCGTCATCAATATATAGACAAAAGTTGTCACCTATCGAGATATAGTACATCGAGATATGGAGAGTTGACTGATTAAGCAAATTCTCTCCAATTAACTCAGCATCTGGGATGAAACCTCAGTAAGCAAAAACGATCATAACCATAAAACTATCACAACACACACATCACGAGTGATTGACATGATACTATTAAATGGAATCGATTTGTTTAATCATGAAGAGGAATTACCTGTTTGATGTGGACTGAGATTTAACTCATAATCTGCTGCTTACTAAGCAAAAAGGGTTGCCACTAGGCCACCGAGATTTCGAGATATAAATATCATTACGGCGATGGCGATGATGAGTATCACGCAAAATGAATCATCAGTGAAAAAATAACAGCATCCAAGGAATTATCATAAAATGACTTTTTCGGAGTGCTGAACCATGGTTTCGACCAGGATCGAGAATGCGTCAAATTACACCACTGCACTATTGGAAATCTCCATACAAGGAGGTGGCCCAAAATATTTTCTTGCTTATTCTCCATTGTTTTGATTGTCTGTGATAACACATTAATCATTAATAATTTTGAGATCCTGAAGATCCTGGAGTTAAGATTTTGATGTTATATAGACTCAATGTGGTTTGGTACGCACGTGCCCGACATTTAAACACATCTTCCTATCATTATAAAGCTTCATCAGAACATGCGCATCATAGAATGGTAACAATAAGATATTCAATGCTCTCCAAATTATTCTGGAGCTACGTTCTTGAAGTTTTGCATGCTCAATGAATAAGTTATTTAATGCTTTTCAAACCATTATGGGATTTAGATCTTGAAGTTCTACTGACTCAATGAACTCTTGAACAATGGCCTGAAAATCTTTTTGAGTTCGTGAATTCTTGTCCTTGGCCTGGATGAAATTTGAACTCGTGACTAAGATCAAGAAACTAACCCAAGAAACGCTTAAATGTATGTATGTCCTAGGTGATCATCGATGATCAACCAATAATGTTTGTGAATGTTAGAACTTCTACCGATTGGATCTGCTTAAAAATTTGCAAAAAACCAAGTTAAATGATTATTTGACTATTTGAATAGCTTTTCGATAACTTTAGTACCACAATAATTTTTGACATGCATCGAAAACGACCAATTTTTCATTAATTTTTGTATGGCGTCCGTTACGAAGGAAAAAATCACAGCTGCATTTATTTCTCCCACGTATATAATGCATTTGGTTCTATCTTAGGCTTATAGTGTAGCATGATAATGTGGTTTCCAAACACACCTGATTTTAGAAGTTTGATGTTAGATATTGAAGGCATCATATAGTAGTTCAATTATCACAGACCGGGTGAGAAAACTTATATGAAATCCGTTGCGGTAACTTAATGTCACGGAAATAATGTGCTTGGGCAACCATGTAGTTCGATTTATGTCGACCCATCTGTAATAAAACGGCTAGCTCACCGGTACTAAAGCCCGATTCAAAGTAAATTTGGACGCATTCAAGTGATCATAACTCAAGAATTAAACAACATACACGGTAAATCAAAACGTCAAACAAAAGGATATTTATTCAGTTTTCAAACGATATATAACAAGCTATTATATTTCACCGTTTCGAACGAACTGTCGCACTTTACTTGTGATCGATGCCATCATGATCTGCACAGTCGCTGGTGACACTGTACCGGCGAACTTATTCCACTTTAAACGCATTTGTTGTGCATTTGTCACACCGCATCCTCGAAGTTTTCGCTTGTCAATTGCCCAATATTTTTTGATCGGTCTGAACTCAGGGTAATTCGGAGGATTAATCTCTTTGGCGACGAAATTAACATTGTTTGCAGCATATCATTCAAGTACCTCCTTAGAGTAGTGGCAGTTGGCTAGATCCATCCAAAACATATCGTTGGTCTTGTGTTGCCGAATGAAGGGTAAAATCCGGTTTTTCAGACACTCTTTAATGTAAACCTTCGATGTCATTGTGTGAGATGTGATGAAAACCTTGGCCATAACTGCAGATTTCTTGCCAAATCATTAGTTTCCGAGCAAACTTATCAACAAAAACAAATTTATACCTGGAAAGAACATCCCAACGACCATTTATGAGGTCCAGGGATTTGTTTATAATCCTTTTTGACATATGTTTCATCATCCATTAAAATACAGCCATCAAATTTTGTCAAAACTCGTTCGTATAGTAATCGTGCTCGCTTTTCGGCCACTAAATTTTGTTTCAGGGAGCGATTCGGATGTTTACTGGCAGAAAAAGACTTATATCCTTCTCTTGAAAGGATGTTACGCACGGTGGAAAAGTTGGAATCGTATGTCTTTGCCAAATCACGTATGGAGACACCTGGGTTGCTTTTCACGTACCTCAACACCTTTCTCCTCAGCTCTTTGTCCCTAGTGCCACTTTTATGATAGATGCGCTGTGCTCTATCCACACTCAGAGTATCCTTGTAACGTTTGATTACAAGACTCACCGTTGACTTTGAGAATTTTAACACTATTTTTGAGGCAGACCACGAAGGGTTCTCTAGAGAGTGCAAGAAAGTGAAAGTGATTGGTTGGAAATGCATTCGAAAGTGTTTTCGTTTATCATAATCCTTTTCATCAGAACTTTTATTAGGCGATTGGCAATCTGGCCAGATGATTCTGATTCGAGGCAGGTGCAAGAGCTTCTTTAAAGATCCGACGGAATGTTGTGAAATGTTAAGCTAGAATTAGGAGATGCAACAGTCTTTCAAGTATTGGCTTCACGTGCAAACCATCGTTCATTTGGTGAGTTCGTTCCTGTTTATTTTTTCACTTGTTTCGATACCATCTATCAGTTTTCTACAATTTTGTCTTGGACATCTTTTCGAAGAGCCACGTTCATACTGTAATTTATCGAGCGCACAATTTTCACATGTTGAGATCGAGTGGGAACGTCAAGATAGTCATCCAAGTGCTTTTGTTTCCCACCAAATCCACTTGCAGCCACAATCAACGATTCTACGAATCGCGAGCGCTCACGAATCATAAAACCGCCGACTGCGGCACTCTGAAATCGAAATTGACAGGCGCTATGCGTCTAATGGTTTTAAAATTCTTGGTTGCGTGAAATATATGTGTGAGAATATCTTTTTGAGATTTTAGTAGTCACGTTTTGTTTGTAGTTTATATTTTATTTCTTTCATGTAATTATCGTAAATAATAGTTATTCAATAATAGATAGTTCATCCATATATTCGTACTTTGACGCGAAGCGCTGTGGATTATGAGATGCTCGATGACCCTGGAGGGATCGATTTTGCTTATTGAGCAGAAAATCATGGGTTTAATCCCAAGCTCTCCGTCATGACTCTTAAAATTCATGATCACTAAACAAAATGAATATGTTCTTTCGATAGCCGGCTATCGAGAGATTAAATAAACAACAAATAAACAATGCATACTTTTGGTTGCATCGCCAACTTGAGGTGAATCCTAACCGAATACCCTACCCAACTCTCCAACTCCGTAGCACTTATGAGGGTGTCGCTAAGTCGGTGGCCTCTCGTTAAGTAAGTACTACATCAACATTTCCTTCCCTATCCCTAGTTATGGTAAAGATGGGCGTGGCCGGGAATAGCGACAGTCATGCTTCTGTTACTCTTGTTTAGATTGGAACCAATGTTTACTCCCCAGCATTATTCCTGAAAGTAGTCCAACTGAGAATTTTAGAAGAGACGTGAGTGTCGCTAGTATCCAATCTACGAAGTATATCATAACAACGCTAACGCTAACGCTAACCACGAAGGGTTCTCTAGATGTTTGTGCACAATTAATTTTCTTTTCTCAAGTTCCATAATCCGTAATTTCGGGATGCGTCGATCAATCAATCATTTCTTCGTCAATGAAACATCATCTAATGCCTGTCAAACGTTTTTTGTTCCAACCACCAGGGGCGCGGTGGTGTATTAAACCGTGCGTCCAGATTTACTTTGAATCGAGCTTTATTACCTGTCTCGAGGGCGGCTTATCCACTTATTCGCCTTGACACCAGTCCCGAAGTGACGTTTCTTCACACACATTTTGACAGTTCCTTATGGGGTTTTGCGTTGGAGTGAGAGAATAAAAAAAATCCGCCATGTTTCTCACATAGCCTGACAGTTACATATGAGATTTCTCCATACGAGTAAAGAGTTACAGAGCTCTCGTCAACGCCAATTAGGTGGACTCACAACACAAGAGCGTAAAATTATTGACTGCGTAGGCTGAGTGTGAAAGCCAGCGCTGCCATTTATACAGATTTATCTGTATTATACAGATTTTTTAATCTTAATACAGACCCGATACAGAATACAGATTTATCACAGATTTTTAAATTACAATACAGATTTATACAGATTTTTATAAAATGAATGTTATGGTGTTTTTGACAGCATTCACAACCAGAGGACCAACCGCTTTCGGATGCATATGGAGCTGGTAGTAAACGATTTGAGATTGTATGGGGATTTACAGTATTAATTGAATATTTCCAATATAAGCATGTGTGTTAAATACAAGAAAAGTGCCCGAGCACATTAAAATGGTACAAATACAAGTACTCGTAAACATTTTACTTGCATTGAAAATGTATTTCGTAAGAAATTGCGGATTTTCTGATATTCTCCATACTGCAAAAATGTTTTTACCAGCACTGGCGGGGCGACATCTCTCGACTTTTCGGTGTAACTACCACACAAATGATGTAATTAATTGTATTCATCTATATTAAAAATATCAAATAGTAATGAACTCGTGCACTTTTTTGCATTTAAAACTGCTTATCAGGAAGATAATGAATAGAAACTAAAATCTCCATACATTTTCAAACGGCTTCATATCACTCTTATAAATAAGTACGGACGATATCACAAATGGCGCAATTATATACCGTATGGTTAGTACGATAGCCCGAATAGGTGGTTAAGCACTTTTTATGGTTATTTTGTATGCACTGTATTTGTAAAACAACAAAACATGATTTATTAAGAAAAAAATCGTCAATACAGAAAATACAGATTTTTTAATAGAGTGGATACAGATTTTTTATAAAACCACCTGGCAGCTCTGGTGAAAGCACTACACTATTCAATCCATTGCTCTGTGCAGACCGTTTGTACCAAACGGTAAAGGACGAGGCAATGAAAGAGTCAACAAAAACATTCAGCCACTCACGAGCAGGTGACGCACACCGCTTGCCTTCGCTCACACAGCATGTAATTGAGTCATTTTTTCATAGAAAATGTAGGCTCAGTCATTCAAAACAAGTACTGGGTACCATCACGGCAGAATAAACGTGTTGACTGAGCTACTGACTGAGTGCTCGGCTGTCAGTGACTCGTTTACCTCTCAATCATTCAGACTCTCACGAGGCAGTGAATGATGAGGCAGATGGCAGTTCATATTCATATCAAAATGACTCAATGAACCTGACTATTTTGCGCACTGCGTCACAACCCAACACTAAAGTGAAGTGGACAATACTGTTTCGTAAGTCGAAATGCACAGGCTCGTGTAGTACAGAAAGAATAGCATACAAAATATTTATCTTTTTCTTGAATTTTATTGAGGGACATATAACAAATAGGGGGTGGTACCGGTACGGCCGATCTGCAACGTTGCGGCCCTTGTTCAAATGTGGAGAGATAGGAAGGAGGGTTCTGTATCATACCTGTTGCCGTGCAGGGGCTTGGAAGGAAGAGTAGAACTGTTCGAAGTAGTGTCCTGGCCTAGAAAAGCGGTCGCAGGATCCTCGGAAGTTGGCAGCAGCTCTACTTTAGCCCGCAGACGGATGAGAAACACATCGGCATAAGTAACAATAAGCGAGGGCGAACCCTCCGGACCTCACTGTACCTCTGCCTCAGCAACGTCTGTTTCACCAAACTGAACGCGTGTGGCACAACGATAGCAAGTGGGTTTCGTTGGTCAACGGCTAGAAAGTCTCGTACTTCGGAAACCAGGAGGGTGGAAGGAGGGCGGAAGGATGGTGGAAGGAGGGTGGAAGGAGGGTGGAAGGAGGGTGGAAGGAGGGTGGAAGGAGGGTGTTGTCGTACCGTTGACGCACTGCTCAGGCGACCGGGGTGTGGTTCTCCGTCCTGCACTATTCTAGGGACATTTGATCTTGGCCGGCGGAGCCGGAGACGAGCTATAGCCACGTGTTCACACGACCTGTGAAGCAGAGATGCTTCGGTTCTGTCCTCCCGGATGCTCGAATCTGGGGTGGCTGGGAACGGGTTTAATGTTCCGGAATAAGCGGGGTAGCTATACTGTCTGACCCGGATCCACGAGGATACTCAAAACTCGTCCATTCGTCCAAAATCCTGAAGCAGCTGGCTTCTTACCGGTAAAACGTGGCCACTCCGCTGCTAGTAAAATGTGGCAACTGCTGACCTTGTGACACGGCTGGTTCGGATCACTCGTTCGGAAACAGAAGAAATTCACTGATCCTAGACATGTTCTTCGCGGAGTTTACAAACGCAGCGTAATACACTCGTGGTCGGTCTCTAGCCCTCGTTTACTCGTTTTTTCTGCAAAGTCACTTTTTTACGTCAGGCATCCAAAATTATTGCTGGTTTACTATTTGTAAGGATATTTATTTATGTTTGAATTAAGTTTGTGTTAAGTGTCATTTTTTTTTGACAATTTTATAGCCATGTACGCGTTTTTTTTTTTCAACTTGGCACCTCCAAATCGACACGCAAAGCCATCAAATTCATACTATTTCGAGGAGATGCCAAATTCCATGATGGAAAAAGACCCATAACTCTTAACACTAATTTACAAAGCATTTCATATATTTGTTTTCATTAATTCATCACGATGTTTATGTTCTAGTTAAAAATATTCAAATAATCATAATACGAGCCATGAATAAAGTGTAAAGAACGTAATTAATTAATATAAGTTGAATAAAAAAAAACAAGAAGAATCTTAACATACATGACTTAGAGACTGGAAAGGCATGTTACCAGAGCAATTGGTAACACATCTTGGAAGAGGAGGTGAAGTTTCAATCTTTGTTCAATTCAAAATACTAAATACCTTGAATATTAAACTCCGTCCACTTATCACGTTCCAGATGTGATGGATTTCATATTCACGCTAAGCCGCAAGTACGGGAAGATGTTTCGCGTATGGGTCGGAATGCGGCTGGCACTGTTCTGCACCAACACACCGGATACGGAAACCGTCCTTAGCAGCCAGAAGCTGATTCGCAAAAGTGAGCTGTACAAGTTCCTGGTCCCATGGTTGGGCAATGGGCTGCTACTCAGTACGGATCAGAAGTGGTTCAACAAGCGTAAGATCATCACACCGGCGTTTCATTTCAAAATTCTCGAGCAGTTCATCGAGGTGTTCGATAGGCAGAGCGGAATTCTGGTGGAGAAACTGAAGGCGGAAGCTACCGGGAAGCTGGTGAATGTATATCCGTTTGTTACGCTGTGTGCCTTGGATGTGATTTGTGGTGAGTACTGTGAAGATGGGAGGCTATTTGAAACTGATATCGATGAATTTGTTTGATAGAAACTGCCATGGGAACACCAATCAACGCCCAGACGGACGTGGATTCAAAATACGTAAAAGCCGTTACGGAGCTGAGTTATCTGCTTACGACTCGATTCGTGAAAGTGTGGCAACGATCTGATTTTCTTTTCAATCTATCCCCGGACAAGAAACGCCAGGATAAGGTGATCAAGGTGTTGCATGACTTCACAACGAACATCATACAGAAAAGAAGGAACGAGCTGCTGGCTCATGGTGATAGCGGCATTGAAGGAGATGAAAGTATCGGATCTAAGAAGAAGATGGCATTCTTAGATGTTCTGCTGCAAGCTTCAGTCGACGGTTGCCCATTGACTGACAAGGAGATTCAAGAAGAGGTGGATACGTTTATGTTTGAAGGACACGATACAACTACGATTGCCATAGCCTTTACGTTGCTGCTGTTGGCGCGGAACCCAGAGATCCAGGAAAAGGTGTACAAAGAGGTTATTGAGATAATAGGGTCTGATTTGAGCACCCCGGCCACTTATAGAAACCTTCAGGATATGAAGTATCTGGAGATGGTGATCAAAGAATCGCTTCGATTGTATCCACCAGTACCGATTATCGGACGGAAGTTTACCGAAAAGACTACGATCGGAGGAAATGTCATTCCGGAAAACTCTAACTTTAATCTCGGCATCATTGTAATGCATCGTGATCCGACGCTGTTCGAGGATCCGGAAAAATTCGATCCGGAACGTTTCAGTCCCGAACGAACCATGGAACAGTCATCTCCCTATGCATATATTCCGTTCAGTGCGGGACCGAGGAACTGTATTGGTAAATATGAAATTGCATCTTGAGAGCGATCCGTATTCAGTCAAGCATAAACTTTTTCAGGTCAAAAATTCGCCATGCTGGAGCTGAAAAGTACCCTTTCGAAGGTGATTCGTCACTATCGATTGACCGCGGCTGGACCGGAACCACAGTTGATAATTCAACTCACGTTGAAGCCGAAAGATGGACTGAAGATTGCCTTTGTACCGCGTACTTGATGGAAAGGATCTGGATATCAGACCTTAAACTATATAGTGGCTTACCAATTGTGATATACTTTATTTGTTTGTGGATTTCTTTGATTTAAAATATATGACAGATTGAAAAGTAGCAGTTTTTGAGATCCTTTATTTGAAATTCCTTACCAAATGATCCGTTGAGCTTCCCGATAGTCACTCCAGTAGAACTCTTTCTTAACAAATATATAAAACGTAGCGGCGTTGATTGCCAGGTTACCAACCACTTCCAACGCGAGCAGTTTATTCGATGTCCGAATGTTGGTTTGAATCAATCTTAGAATGAGGAATGGTAATATGAAGTACCGAACTTCGATCAACTGCTGCAAGGCTACCGAAGCAAGGGTAGCTGTCACCCAAAGCAAACTGAATCCAACTGTTTGCTCGTTGTTGTTACTGCTAGGAAGAAGCAGCTGCCCCAGCAGAACCAACACTGCGAAGTAGATTGGTATCGGTAGGTATCGGGCGAACCACCATCTAGCGTAGAAGCGATTCCATATGTAGAAAGTGTAGTGGCGGTTGTCGGCAAGCATGTACGGATGAACGATCGTGTTCATATGGACTGCGGCGGCGAAAAGGCACAAGCAGACGACAGTGATTGGCCACTTTCTGCGAATGAAGCGAGCTACCCGTTTCAACGAGGATAGGGCGTGCGAACTGCTGAAGGCGGCGAAGAACAGCGAGAAGTAGAAGACCTGGAAAAGGGAAGTAAATTCAATTGACAAATCAAAGTTGGCACTCGTGGAGAATAGAAGAACTATGAGAGTGATGATGGTTCCAACATTTTCCACGGGGAGGCATACGAGTGCAATCTTAAAATGTTTTTATTTTGGAAATGGAGAATTTTATTTAAATCTGGTTGCTGCTACAGTTGTAGAAAAGCTGAAATCTATATCTACCACATAGCAACACCACTACTACTGGATTGTACCACATGGCAACACTACTACTAGATTGAACTAGCATTTTCACCAAATGTACTAGAATGTTTTGGTTCTATCTCTTTCACTCTACTCAAAACTGAAATGCATAAAAAAAATGACAAAATGATACGCACTCTTTGCACACTGTCAAAGAATCATTGTACACAAAATCAACTTTGTGCAAAACCAAAACAAAAATAGTATCCCATTTGGTGGATGATGGCACAAGCTTCTAAGAAAACTCTATTACAGCGAACCACATTATTTTAATTGATTTCTTCGCCAGTTAGTCGTCTGTCACTTCGTTTGTGGTACTAGTCGCTGGTGATAAATTTATGACAGCCGTTTCAAATTCCAGAGTTTGAATGATAAATTATTGAAAAAAAAAAAAGATCAAAATAGTGAGATACGATCATTATGGATTATACATGTAGGAAATTTGTCAAATAATGTAATATTATGTTAATTTTCATTGCAATGTCATTGAAAGGTTATGAAATTTCGTTTTTTAATGCACCGATATTATTTAGGTTACGCGGATTTTTCTTCTATTATTCGGTTTTAGATCCGGTTAAATGTTTCTATTCGGCCCAGCATACGATTGCCAGTTTCAAATAGTGGGATATGGTGAAATTATAACAGTGACTCAACTAATTCCCAATGATATACTAAGTCTACGTGTCTGGAGTTTGCCGATTACACGCAGCTTCGGAACCGGAGGACTATTCGATACTTCCATACAATGTTATTTTCATATCCGGACGGCGGACCGTGAATCGTCAACTAGTTTATAAATTTAAGTTTAATTGGAAAAAAAAAAGAGGGTAGACCTAGCTTTACGTGGAAGGATACACTGAAGCAAGATTTTGTAAGGTATGAAGGGATGGATGAAAGAGTCTGGAAGTTGCTAGCAAAGGATAGGGAAAAATTAAAGTAAAAAGCAGAGGAAATTTATAAGGATAGTGCGCTTTCGGATGAGGTAAGTCATCTTAAAAAGGTAATTTCGTTGGTACAGGTAAATTCATTGAAATAATTCGGTCTTGAGTACATATATAACCCTTTTTTGTGAACCCCTCCTTGATAATCTTTTCAAAAATAAAATAGAAAACAAGACCTTAAAGCACCCAAACAAAACATTTAAAATTTATCTTATCATAGAAAGAGAGTTACAATAACAATTCCTATTATCTAAAATAATTAAAATTCGGATGCAGAGGGCTTGGAAAAATTGTAAATCATATATTTTAAAATATTATTTTAAATATTGGGTTGGGGAGGGGCAGCCTAAGGGAATCAAAGGTTTTGTTGACTGGACGAGGGTTCGTGGATTCGCCAGTCCCTTGTCACGTGATTACAGATGGCTATCTGGTCGTTTTGTCTTCCAAAGGTCTTCAATGAAGCTGATTCACCCTGCTGCAACAAACCATCAGGCAGAACTTTACAACCGGTAAAGTATCTGCAGACATTGGTGGGTTCCATTCACATCACATCACATCACATCACATCACATTACATCACATCACATCACATCACATCACCGATATTATTTAGGTTATGTTTTGTATGATTGCAGATTCCCATCCCGAAATCGACGGCCAAGTCAGTGTGCTAGATATACTGGATTATGTTGGGGACTCCAAGCTAGCGGATTTAGAGACCTAGCATATGTTGTGCCTTGGCTACACCAGGAGATCCGCAGCAAAGCACGAATTGAGGGGAATGGGTTTGTGCTGCAAAATTCCCATCCCGGGGAGCGGTCACATGAAATTAATTTAAAATTGACCCACGACAACAAACTTTGGGACTTATATTCTAAAAAGTCTACTTCAACAAAATTATGGGAGCAAATCCGCTCTGTCCCTGTTACGTAAACAGTGGCAACCTTTCTCCACTGCGCATATTTGTTGCTCCCCGAGTTCAGAACCCGAAGAGTGGAAGTTTGTCCTCGTTGCATCCCGGGATAATGCAACGATCCTGCAGCAACAAAGAAAATGTTAAGCGGTGGAGTTTGCGTTTATGTAGTCTAAAAGTGCACTTTTTTCCTGATTGCAAACAATTATATTACTGTCACTTGTCATTTTGTAGAAGACCACCTTTCCTATAATTGGATAAGCTTTTTGATCACCAAAACTTACAGAAAAAGCCAAATTTTCAATTTCAAAAGTAAAGTTTTTCTCACCTGAGGAAGATGAATCTTGGCCACGTGCGCCGATTTATCTCCAATGACGATCGATCCATTAAGAACAAGAAACCCGAGGAAGCATAAAATGTTTAAAAAGTAACCGAAGTACAGCGTCAGGGAACAGCCAAGTACATCCAATATGATTTTGGGATTGCCAATCAGAATTTTCACTGCTTGAAAAAGATCCTGCAAGGAAATCCAGTTAGGGTCACATTTATCGATTCAGATCAATCGTTTACCTTGAATCCATAATGTCGACTTTTCCTTTTGGTTCCCTTCCCATTGGCGAGACAAATGTCAAGGGTCGTTTTGATAACCTGGTCACCAAGTACCAACCCTACCCACACAATGTTCGTTTGTCGCATCAAGATGGCCATAAATGCCGCAATGGCTCCCCAGTTGTGCATTCCTCTCAAATTAAAGTACACCATAATCAGCACCATCGTTACCGACAGGACATCCGTGTAGTACAGATGTGAAAAAAAGTACAACGGTGGAAGGGTGGCCAGTGAGATGGATTCCAACAACAGATAGACATCGCTCCGATTGGCCAAGACCACCTTACGGATGATGAAAATCAGATATACATTGGCAATGGATGCTATCAGCGAAACCATTCGTAGGTGATAGATCGAACAAGCCTGGAACGGTCCGAGCAACGATGCTGATACCAGGTAGAGACCCGGAAAGGTCGTGATTTTTTCGTCCCACTGAAAAACGTCAATTTATGAGAACAAACTATTTAAGCTATAAACTATTCAGATCTTACAACTTCGAACCGTCCATGGCAATAGTGTTCACCTTGACGCAGGTGGAATTCCTCGTCTACCACCACCTTCGAGGTCCGATAAATCAGATGGAACAGGACAAGGGAAACAATTGAATACACACTTACGAATGCGAAAAAGAGGATATGGTTTCGCATTTTTTGAACGTCTCAGAAACGACATCAACTTCAAGATGATGATGATGTATTTGTTTACGTTTCTGCCGGTGACAACGCGAAACACCGAGCCATCGAAGTCATACAATGTCATCTGATAAGAAGCACGAAAAGTTTTGCACGCAATATGCGGCAAACTTGCATGCAAGTTAGTAATGTTGATCTAATCTACTGGAGATTTTCGATCCATTTGTGCCTTTGCATTATGTCGCTGTATTACTGATTAAGGTAATTAGTGAACTATAATACGATTTTTATTGCTTGCGCATTGATGACTGGCATTAAACAAGTTTAGGCATCCTCATAAAGATAGTAATTTTTGCAATTGAAATGCGTTCTCTTGATTTACCGTGCAGCACACAGTGACAGTTGAGCATACAGAGAGAGTAACTGTTGTTCTGTTTTGATTCCGAGCTTTCTTGTTTATAACAAGGACGCCGCTAATTTCAATTTTGCTTGCTGGAACAGAGCGCAAAGTTTTTGATTTTTATCTATGAAAAGTTATTCATTTTGTGCAGAACATTTAGAATTCGTAATCGCAAAGCAATGGTAAGTACACCAGCATAACAAAAAAAAAATCGGTTTCATGAAGATTCACGAACCTTTACAGAATACCTAAAACTGAAAATTAGCAATGTAATTAGCACCAATTATAGCCCATCTTTTTTATGGCGTAACTTAAACATTAATCCATTATTTTCAGCAGATTCGGAATTAATTACGGGATTGACGTTGAATTATTTATTATTACTTCATTTCTGATAATATTCAATCATAACCATCCTATACATTAGAAACAATATACAGTGTATTTGCAGGCCAAAAATGAAAATGACATATGCCCATGCTAAGTAGATATAAACTGGATTGATGAAGATTTTGATGACTCCATCCAAAAAGCTCGAGCGCGATGTGAGTGGATGGATTTAGATGCGAACATTGAAAGTTAATTTTTTGTAGATTGATTCACTATAGAGTGAGAATTTAAGAGCATCTGCGCTCCTGATGAATAATCTGATAAGTTTTCTGTCAAAAATAGATCAGGTTAAAACATTTAAATCAACTGTTTTTTTTTTAGATCAAACTGAGGAATAATGCACTCCATAAAGTATTGATGTATACACTCTAAAAATTCATCATATCCGATTTACGTGAAATATCACGTAACTGATCTGTGTTTAGTAAAAGTCAGATGTTATATCCCGTTCACATATATGCGTATGCGTTCGACGTGATATACGCTGTCTTGCAATGAGCACTCATACATCTAGTATTCATTGGAAATGCTATGTATCAGTGCTTTGCAAGACAGCGTATATTACGTGATATAGACTGTAATGTGGACGGGCTATTACGTGACATTAGTAACTTTGACCTGCATTACAAGGTCATGTTCACTAAAAATGTTAGTGAAATCGTCGTAAACAGGTTTAGTGTAAAACAGTAAAAAAGGTTATCTTCCATTTGATTCCACTTAATTAATTTTGGTATCCATGAGAGATACGTATTTCGACAACAATGTGCAGTCTTCATCAGTGTCATTCCCACTAAAGAACTTATCAAAATCTAACCCCGTTAAGTACTCATCCCCTAGGTAAAAAAGTCAAGATCACAGGTATAAAAATGAACCTACCTAAATAATAAAAACCAAAGGTTTAAATAAACTAAAAAATCTATCTTCTTCGCATTTCAAGCTTATTGCATATCGCATATAAGCTTATTGCGTGCTCTCAACTTAGTGTGCACTTCCACAGTTATTAATTGAGAGCTTTCGATGCCTGTACCATGTTTGCATTGGTATAATTGTGCGGCAAGTCCAATCATACTTCTATGCCCAGGGAAGTCGAGAAATTTTCCAACCCGAAAAATTCCTAGACCGGACCGGGAATTGAACCCAGCCACCTCCAGCATGGTCTTGCTTTGTAGCTGCACCTTTAACGACTGAGCTAAGGGAGGCCCCAGAAAAATCTATACAACTCTCTAATAAGGAAAATCCCAAAGGAATGGTAGCCATCATAATGAAGTAATGAAATTGGGTTGTTAGCGTAATACTTAAATGACAGATACGTATTTTTAATTCCTCTTAATTCATTTTGGTATCCATGACAGATACGTATTTCGACTACAATGTGCAGTCTTCATCAGTGTCATTCCCACTAAAGAACTTATCAAAATCTAACTCCCTTAAGTACTCATCCCCTAGGTAGAAAAGTCAAGATCACGGGTATAAAAATGAAACTACAATGTGTTGAATCCGAACTAATTAATAATAACCAAAGATTTATGTAAAGTACAACATCTATTCAAATCTCTAATAAGGAAAATTTAGAAGAAGAAGATTTAGTGTATTTGTGTTGCTATGCTTAAGACTGCGATATTTCCGAGAAACGAGATTCAAGCAATTTCAGGTATGCAAGAAGTCTTCTCAAATATTTCAAATATCCCAGCAGCTTGCTGCAAATATTGAACGGTAATTTGGTTCTTTTACATTAATTTATGTATGATTATATGTAGCTAACTGTGCCTTTTTCTACTTTTATGATTCCTAAAGTTGACAACGGCATTTTGCGTCTACTAACAGTTGTTAATATTTTGTCAGAAATTAAAAAGCTCATACATTTCTATCTCCTAATTATCAAGCAGTCAATAATTTTCAATTTTGTGATCAGATAAAGGGTGATACGGTCAAAATTTGGTCAAGGGAAAACGCGTGTAAATCGGTGAAATCGTTTATTTAAAAAATCAAATTAAATTTCTTTTTCAAGTTCAATTAGTATAAAATTCAGGAAAAATATTCAGTTAGGCTTCCGCTTTTCCAAATCCGAATTGCCGGGCCTTACGCTTGACCCCTGCCATCAGATTTTGTACAGCCACTTTGTCCACCTTCTTCGCCGCAGAAAGCCAGTTTGCCTTGAACTGCTGCTCGCCCTTAGCAGTTTTTTTGGTCTTCTTTAGGTTCCGCTTGACAATAGCCCAGTATTTCTCAATTGGGCGGAGCTCTGGCGTGTTGGGGGGGTTCTTGTCCTTGGGAACCACCTGCACGTTGTTGGCGGCGTACCACTCCATGGCCTTTTTACCGTAATGGCAAGATGCCAAATCCGGCCAAAACAGTACGGAACAACCGTGTTTCTTCAGGAAAGGCAGCAGACATTTATTCAAACACTCTCTCACGTAAATTTCTTGGTTGACAGTCCCGGAAGCTATGAAAATGCTGCTTTTCAAGCCACCGGTACAGATGGCTTGCCAAACCAGATATTTCTTTGCGAACTTTGACAGTTTCATGTGCTTGAAAACATCTGCTACCTTTCCCCTTCCTTTTGCCGTATAAAACTCCTGTCCCGGAAGCTGCTTGTAGTCGGCTTTGACGTAGGTTTCGTCGTCCATTACCACGCAGTCAAACTTCGTCAGCATCGTCGTGTACAGCTTCCGGGATCGCGCTTTGGCCGTCGTATTTTGTTTATCATCGCGATTTGGAGTCACTACCTTCTTGTAAGTCGATAGTCCGGCTCGTTTTTTGGCTCGATGCACGGTTGTAGACGATACACTCAGCTTATTTGCGGCATCTCGGAGAGAGAGGTTAGGGTTTCGCTTGAAACTACCGGCAACTCTCTTTGTCGTCTCAGCGGCTTCCGGTTTTCGATTTCCCCCCGATCCAGACTTCCTGGCTGTCGACAAACGTTCCCCAAACACTTTAATTACATTTGTAACGGTTGATTTGGCAACTTTTAGCGATTTTGCCAACTTTGCGTGCGAGTAGCTCGGATTTTCGCGATGCGCGAGCAAAATTTTGATACGCTGCTCTTCTTGCTTGGACGGCATTTTGACAACTGAAGAGTGAATTCCAAAATCAAAATAGGAGCAACATTCTACACACACACACCTTCAAAATGAGGGGTGTTCAGGTTTTTTAAATGCAAAATTGAAAGAAATACGTCAAGTTGATATTGACCAAATTTTGACCGTATAACCCTTTATACAGTGAATCTGAAAATTGATCATACAACAGTACTTAACTTTTTGAAAAACGACTCTAAAAACGCTATTTTAACGTCTCTGAATTTTTGGTAGCTGACTTAGCATACATTTATCAATTATTGGCTCAGTAACGCCTTTTTCCTGAAATAAAATGAACAGGAATTCTTGCAATTTTGCTCGTTTTTATTCGTAACAAAGAACATTCATTTCTAACTAATTTTACTAAAATTCGTTCACTAGGTAAAAAGTTGAAAATCGAGCGTTTTACTAAATTAAATCTAACTTCATACAGGCTACCAGGGTTGCTTCCACTCACTTGCTATAAAAAACATTTTTCGGAATTATGCAATCATTAGACGATGTAATGATGTGTTCTTGTAAGTAACAAGAAGAAGGTGAAAAGTATGTGTTTGACTCATAAAACCTGTCAATTTCGCTTTCAGAGCGTCACAATCAGCGATCTTATGATTCGTGAGCGTTCACTCAGAGTGAGCGCTCACGAGTTGTAAAATCGCTGATTGTGACCCTCTGAAAGCAATATTGACAGATTTTATGTGTCAAACACATACTTCACGACCTCTTCGTGTAGCTTACAAGTAATAATTATCATTATAACATCTCATGATTTCATTATTCCGAAAAACATTTTTTTTTATAGCAAGTGAGTGGAAGTAACCCTGCAGGCTACTCCAATAAAGACCAAAATGATAGCAATAAATCAATAAACATATGTTCAGCCACGATTAAAAACAAATACGTCTTTCCACCATGTTTAAAAAAAAATCTTTTAGGGTGTACGATCAATTTTGAGATTCACTGTAAGTATCAATTAAAACACGCGGAATTTTATATCGGCCCGATTAAATTGCATAATATTGACTGCTTCTATACAGGGTGACTGGTAATTCTTGTTACACCCGAAAGGAGGTGAAAGTAGACCACATTTGCAGTAAAAATTGTATTGCAAGGTAGGTCAAAAAATTATTCCTTACCGAGTTATTGAGCAATTAATTTTCTACTGATTCAAAGTGCCTCATTTTGTTCGGGTATTCATAAGCAATCAATAATTGCTTACTTTTGTTTTGACTTGGGCCTAGGTAAAATTTCGACCAACGTTCTTAATTTCCTTCGCCGCCACGAGCCTCTAGGTCTGCCTCTGCTGTGATGTCCTGCCGGATTCCAAACCAAAGCTTGCTTGTAGATTTCGTTTCCGCCCTTCCGTAGTGTGTGGCCAACCCACCTCCACTAACGCTCTCGAATTTCTGTTTCTATTGGATTTATATGCAACATTAAACAGTTAGAACCAGATCAAATCCATCCGAAAGTAAACCTGTGGCGCCAATTGAATAGTGTGGTTAGTAATCAAAGATTGATCATAGTAGCTAAGTAATGTCGGCTTTGGTGGTAATGTTAGTGTTGCTCGGCCGGCAATGTAAAATAAATGGACCAATAACACGGTATGGACTGATTTTTTGACCTACCTTGCCATACATTTTTTGCTGCAAATGTGCTCTACTGTCTCCTGTTACACCCATGAATTACCAGTCACCCATTATTCTCATTCAAAATACACG